CTCGCCGGGCGATCCCGTCGTTGTACATGGCGGCCGCCATCGGGTACGGAGCATCAAAGATGAAGTCGGCGGGGTCGCTCGCCGTTGACCTGATGTCCGAATAGTGCCGCGGGAACCTCAACGGCCGCTCGCGGTTCATGCTCAACCTCCTCAGCCAGTCGCTGCCTAGCCTGCTGTCGATGGTTGAGTAATTTTGAGGCGAGTTGTATCCCCCGTCGTGCTGGTCCATCCAGCTCCGGATTGCAGTTTGCGTCTTTCGCCGCTCGGTCCGCCTTTGCGTCCTCGTCTCTGGGGCGCGCCGGAACACCTCTTCAAGCGCCCGATCCTTCTGGTAACCGACGGCCGATTCTTCACGGACTCGGACGCTGGGGCTGAAGAAGGCCGGGCCGGAAAGGTGGCGGCCACGCCGTGGTTTATCGACCAGGTCCGTTGCCTCGTACATGTCGGGCGCGAGGAAATACTTCTCGTAGAAGTAAATGCAGAACAGCAGCGGGAAATGGGTAATCCTGATGACTGCACGGTTGAGCCAGACATACTGATCCATAGACAGGCAGTACCTTAGCGGCATGAGGGCCCATGCGAAGATGTTGCCGGGGGCGATGTACGAGAAGAGAGCGTCATTCTTGGCCATCGAGATGGTATTGATCGCAAAAGTGAACCTGAACGTGGTCAGCAATGGGGTGGCGATGGTGCTCTGCGAGACCTACTGGTACTCCTGGCTGGCTCTAGAAGCGATGAACATGAACGAGTTGGTTAAGACGGTGACGAGCAGTGTTCTGCGAGAGTCAGCACTCCGTTGCAGTGAATAACCGTCCTAGATCCTGCTTACATGATTATGAAGTGGCTGATAACAAGGAACACGCCCATCGAAGTCTTACCCATCCAGTTGTAAGATGGCCACCTAGAAAGCGTTAGTCGTGGAGACTTGCTGATTCATAGGGCCACTTACATCTCCCAAGCGGACGGAGTGAATCCCATGAGAACCTGGAACATCTTGTAGGCCACTGCTGAGGCGTCATCTGGGTTCTTGGAAAAGGCAAAGAACACAAAGAAGCCGCTGCAGCCGATGAAGATGAGGACGAATACGGCGGCCAGGTCTACCGCAAGTAGCCGGAGAGATATCAACAGCTTGGAGAAATGGCGATAGTGGTCTAGCACGCCGAATATCCTCGGCAGCAAGAGGATCGCGTTGACAGCAAGCACATCGTAGGCGTTTTGATTCCACTTGTGAGGATCCAGTATGAAAACGCCGTAGATGCGCATGCAGTAGTAGACGATCAACAGCAGCAAGATGCCCAGGTCGAAGATGTTCCAGAAGCTCATGACGTAGAATGAGAAGCCCTCCTCGTTGAACCCAACGAGCTCGTCGAGCATGAAGCCGGCACTCCAGAACCAGAAAAGCAGCTCCAGCGAGGTGATCTTACTCGACCTCTGGCCCAGAACGGCAAGGAACAGGCATATGAAGACGACTAGAGAGCCCGTAGAGAATAGGCGTCGGTAGCGAGGAACACGTAGCCGGGACAGCTTCAGCGGGGAAGCGGTCCGAGGGTTGTACAGAGCCACAGAACGGCGGCCGGCGGCGGACTGGAGCCGGGCAGGCTCCTCTTTCGCTCGCTGGTCACCTAGTAACGGGGTGCGGATAGTGCTTTGCCGCCGGGATTGGTTGCTCCCAGCAGCACTCGACCCAGAGCCCTGGTGCTGCGATTCCCCTCTGGGGGAAGAAAAGCTGATGGCGCCGTTCCAGATGGCTTCGAGTTGCTGGGCGACCACGGGGTGGGATAAGAATTGCTTGGCAGAGGCCCGGACAGCCACTTCGAGGGTCGAGGTCCGAGGAGCCGACTTTGGTCTACCTGATGCGAGGGGCGTTTGCGAGCCTGGTATTCCCTGCAGGGGGTAGAAGTCGTAACAGAGGGCATCGATGAGTTCTCGGGTGGTGTATTCCTTCAGCAACCTGATGGCCAAAAGCTCGCACACCCTTGCCCGGGTGGCACTGGTGCCGGCATTCCCAAGATACAACTGACCCTCCTTCTCAAACTGTAGGCAGTTCGCCAGCAGAGCGTACAGTGTGCCTCGTGAGAAGTGCTGTGCGCGGATCTGCTGCAACAACGGCTTAACCAAGAACTGGGACACCTGGGGAGACCTCAACTGCTCCCAGGTCAAGCTGGTCTCGGTCCTAGCCTGGACAATGATGCGGATCGCGTGGGTCATGCTGTATATGGGTAGCGCGTCTGTAGGTTCGCGGTCAGTGACATTGAAGCACAAAAAATCGAGGTTCGCACCTAGATGGTTGGCGGTGAAAATGGGTAGGAGCCCGGTTGATCGAGCCACGCCGTCCTCGTCCTCCTCCGGGCGACCCCCAAGCGGGTAGCGGGACTGCTCGCCATCGTTAGATTCCTCCTCGTCGTCATCGTCGGCCTCGGTGAAGTCGGCTGTGGCATGAAGGTGGCTGCGGTATTCGGCGGCCGAGGGGCGGAATGCAAAATCGTGCTCGAGGTCCGCGGGGTCCTCGGCTTGCGAGCTGCTGCCCCTGAAGGGTCGTAGTAGGGCAGACAGCATCCTCCGATCGGGCTGAGCGTAGCCCGGCGCGTCAGTAGAGGCGCACGAACGCCATGGAAGTTGTCGAGTAGCGAGGTTGAGGTCGGGTGGGCGCTTGTTGAAAGTCAATGGCTGCACGGCGGCGGCACAACGCGTGCTGCTGTTCCCCTTCCGTCTTATACTGTCGCAGCCGAAGGAAACGTCCACAATACAGGTGCCCCGAGTGAAGTGATTGATGGCCCTAGTAAGACATGTCCCCTTCTTCCAGCCCTCACCGAGTCCGCAGGTAATCCTCCCAAAGAGAAGAAAGTGAGGCGCGTGGAGCGCGGCTGGCAGAGAGCCAGGAAATCGGGATGGAGCGGGCGCGGGTGGTCGGACAGGGCTAATAAGGGGCCCGCCGTGTCGACCGATGGCCGGGGTGGTCAGGAGGAAGGTCAGCTGGGGAATCCCTGCACAGCGCTAAAACACGCCGACACCCTCCCGCGCTGCTGCCAACTTGAACTTGATAAAACCATGGAAGGGCCCGGCCGGGACAGACAGAGGAGATTCCTTGGGTTTCGGGCCCCTTTCACATTCTCCCATCCGTCCTTCAGGCCACACCGCCAGAGCTCGACGCTTTTCTCGGTGGTCTGCTGGCGAATAGGGGAGCTTGAAGCGGCGGCTGTTGCATGTGTGCGGCGACGAATCGCGGGGTCAAGCCGGCAAAGTGGGTGCTGCCAAGAAGGTCGGCGAGGAGGCTGCCTTGGTGGGAACGACGGGCAGCCCACTCCTTTGCAGGAATAGCGCCCCGGTCGGAACGCGGCATGTCGCGATGCAGTGGACGACATGCCTTTGGCCACATGCCGCGCTGCTGAGGCCACGCTTGTCTGACCTGGATCAAGCCATGTCGCCATTGCGAGCCAACCGACACTCCCAGAGCCCGTGGTGAACCCCATGACCGCAACTTCGGTGGACGGTGAGGGCGCAGGGTCTTTCGGGGTAGGTTGCACTCCTGCAGGCTGCGGTTGCATCTCGCGATATGCAGCAGGCGTCGCCTATCATGCCACATGCCGACCCTCCATCCGAGTCGGAGCCGACCACCCTCTGGCTTGCCGATCACTCCTGTTCCATCTTCCGCAAAGACGGAGCAGGCGAACAAGAGATGGAAAGGGGAAGCAGGAAAACAATAGAAGGCAAAGAGCAGGTATCCGGGCTCCAAGAAACGAGTGTCGAGATGACTGAAGTTGGAGCCAGACAATTGATCTGGCGGGTGGTCTCGCAGAAGCCAGCCAAGAAAATGCCTGATGATCCCGACTGCATGCGAGATCTGACAGTGAAGCCATGATGTTCTGCTTTGACTGACCCACCCTCAGCCACCACCTGGGTTCAAGACAACGTTCACTGGCTCTTGTCCCCCACGCCGCCCAGGCGTATCGGTCGCGTAATACTCACCCCCGGTCACCGTCCCATGTCGCGTCGAGAGATGCGACGGCGGGGTTGCAACGGGATGGAGAAAGAGGAAATCCGCGTGGACCATGCCCGTGCATAAGCGAGGGTGCGCCGGTTTCCACAGTGCACTTGCGTTGGGGCCAAATCAGGTCCAGACTCTGCTGAATTTATGTTGGATGATGACAGAATGGCAATGGAAGATGAAGAGAACTTGAATGGAAGAATGGTCGGAAGGCGCAGGCATCAGGCCGGGGACCCACTGAACTTGAGCTTGGGCCATATCCATTCCAGGGCCCGGGTGCCATGACCTCCCCAGTGCGCGCACAGTGTCCAAGACACAGTTAAGAAGAGACAGAGATGGTTCCTTCCAACGCAACACCAACAAAACACACAACGACATCCGACGACGACGAAACCAACACGACAAATCATTTCTCCCAAGCCGATGAACCAAGGTTACCATCCCCCACCTCCAACTGCTGAAAACTATATTTACTGATAAATGTTCCAGCACTCTTCCTCGCGATCTTGGGATGCACACCGAGACATGCCGACTAGCTCAAGCTGAGCCCATCTTGGCCGATTGAGGCCAATGCAACGGCACCTCAGTCCACAGAAAAGACTGGCTGATCAATCCTTGAAGATTGCAACTGCGAAGACTTGGGACAGGACCCGGTTTAACTCCACGACGCTCAGGAAGATGCCCAGAGCGGCGTCCGAGGAGTACAAGGCGAAAAGGACGAAGCAATTCATGGGTGTCGACGACGATCCCGACAAACATCCCGTCCGACATGAAGGAGTGAGGGCACGCCCGGCACGGAGGAAAGGAGGGCTCGGGAGGTATGCCCATATTCACAGTCTCTGCTCGACGCGGGATGGCACAGCTTCCCTTCCCGACCTCTCCCCAAGCCCAGGCCCAGCTCCCGATGACCCACCTTCAGCCCACATGGATCCCCGCTCGATCCCCGCTCGATCCCCGGTCCCCGATCACGCCAACCAAGCTTTTGTCTATCCACTCCCGTTCCGTTCTTCAACAAGGTCCGCTGGCTCAATGGCAGAGCGTCTGACTACGAATCTTCTCACGAAGAGGATGATCAGGAGGTTCCAGGTTCGACCCCTGGGTGGATCGTGACTACCAAACGAACAAGCTAAAGAGCTGAAGCTTTTTCTGTTCGTTTATTTATTTCCGTGTTTTCGGCGACATTGGATTCATTCGATTCGGAAAAGCTATTTTTTTCAGGAGAACCTTGATTCCGCGCGCCGTGGGAAGCTGTGAAGTGAGGCTGGATCGAAAACACCAAATTGCCGATGCAGGAGGGTGGGCGATGGAGCTGAAAAATCCGATCTCGAGGCGGTCACAAAATCGGAATTGGATGCAGCATGAACCCTGCCGGCCGCGGTCGAGAACCCCACGCGACCGGCCCCGCCAGAGCGTGTGCCGCCGTGCTGATTGGCCAATGACAAAAAATCCTGCCGGACTCGGTTCCTACCGCCAGTCAATTCCCTCGCCCAGTGCTGGGAACCCCGCGCAAGTGCATCACCGCCCTGCAAAAAAGTTTGGTGGGGAGACGTCGTTTTGCCGTGTGGCGGGGCAACTTGGGACGATACAAATTTCTTCAGCACCCGACTTTTGCCTCCCTCTGCTCCTGTCCCCCTTGTGTGCATGCAGAAGGGCTGGCGAAGCTGAATCATGAGCGTCTGCGGGTGAAACAACTCTCTCTTCTGGCATCATCCCAAGCCAATTGCTGCGGCAGCATCATCCATCGCACGACCACGAACGACTCTGAGTCTGAGCTCCGAGAGTGACTCCATTCCCGCTCCATCACAAGCTCTCCCCCCACTACACGACTCCGGCTGAGGTGTCTCGTGCTTGCCCTTCTTTTTCCGCCCACATCTTTTTTCTCTCTACTTTTCAAGTTTCTTCCAGTCACACACTTCACAATGGCTGCTGCCACGCTCTTCCGCCCCGCCACGGCGCGCACCGCCAGCACCGAGTCTCAGGGCCTAGTCTCCCTTGAGCTCGAGGACGGCGCCGTCTACCAGGGCTACAGCTTCGGCGCGCCCAAGAGCATCTCTGGCGAGCTGGTCTTCCAGACGGGCCTGGTGGGATACCCCGAGTCCATCACGGACCCCTCGTACCGCGGCCAGATCCTCGTCATCACCTTCCCCCTCGTCGGCAACTACGGCGTGCCCCCGAGGGACGCCCTCGACGAGCTCCTCGGCGACCTCCCCGCCCACTTCGAGTCGTCGCAAATTCACATCGCCGGTCTGGTCACGGCCACATACGCGGGCGAGGACTTCTCGCACTTCCTCGCCAACTCGTCCCTCGGGACATGGCTCAAGGAGCAGGGCATCCCCGCCATGTACGGCGTCGACACCCGCGCCCTGACGAAGCGCATCCGCGAGAAGGGGAGCATGCTTGGTCGCATGCTCCTGGAGAAGGAGGGCCTGGGCAATGGGGTCAATGGCGACGCCGACGGGCTCGCCCTCCCCGGCGTTCTAGGCGACTGGAGGCCCCATTTCGAGGCGGTCGACTGGGTCAACCCCAACGAGAAGAACCTCGTAGCAGAGGGTGAGTGAGAGTGTGCCGAGAGAATCCCCAGGAGGACTTGATGCTGACGGCCCCCCCCAAGTTTCTATCAAGGCCCCCAAGCTGTACCAGCCCCCCGCGGCCTCGGCCCTGAAGCACCCTTCAGGCCGCCCGCTCCGCATCCTCTGTCTCGATGTTGGTATGAAATACAACCAGCTGAGATGCTTCCTCAAGCGCGGCGTCGAAGTCCTGGTCTGCCCCTGGGACTATGACTTCCGCGCCGAGACCTACGACGGCTTGTTCATCTCCAACGGCCCCGGTGACCCGGCCATTCTAGAGCCCACAGTCAAGCGCATCGCCGCGGCCCTCGAGGAGAACCGCACCCCCGTCTTCGGTATCTGCCTGGGCCATCAGCTGCTCGCCCGCGCTGCTGGCGCCAAGACGGTCAAGCTCAAGTTCGGTAACCGCGGCCACAACATCCCCTGCACGAGCATGGTGACGGGCAAGTGCCACATTACCTCCCAAAACCACGGCTACGCCGTCGATGCCCCCACTCTCCCCGCCGGGTGGCAGGAGCTGTTTGTCAATGCCAACGACGGCAGCAACGAGGGTGTCATGCACGTCGACAGGCCGCACTTCAGCGTGCAGTTCCACCCGGAGAGCACCCCCGGCCCCAGGGACACCGAGTTCCTGTTCGACGTCTTCATCCAGACCGTCTCAAACTGTGCTGCCGACAGCAGCCTGCTGCTCAAGGGCGTCCACTTCCCCGGTGGCACGGTCGAGGAGAACAACAAGCTGAACCCTCGTGTCTCCGTCAAGAAGGTTCTCGTGCTCGGCAGCGGCGGTCTCAGCATTGGTCAGGCTGGTGAGTTCGACTACTCGGGCAGTCAGGCGATCAAGGCCCTGAAGGAGGAAGGCATCTACACCGTCCTCATCAACCCCAACATTGCCACCATCCAGACCTCCAAGGGTCTCGCCGACAAGGTCTACTTCCTGCCTGTCAATGCCGAGTTTGTGCGCAAGGTCATCCTCTACGAGAAGCCCGATGCCATCTACTGCACCTTTGGCGGTCAGACCGCCCTGTCGGTGGGCATCCAGCTCAAGGACGAGTTTGAGGGGCTTGGCGTCAAGGTTCTGGGTACGCCGATCGATACCATCATCACGACCGAGGACCGTGAGCTCTTTGCCCGGAGCATGGACTCGATTGGCGAGAAGTGCGCCAAGTCTGCTTCGGCCAACAACGTCGAGGAGGCCATGCATGTCGTCAAGGACATTGGCTTCCCTGTCATTGTGCGTGCCGCGTATGCCCTCGGTGGTCTCGGCAGCGGTTTCGCCAACAACGAAGCCGAGCTCCTCGATCTCTGCAACAAGGCCTTTGCTGCCAGCCCTCAAGTGCTGATCGAGCGCAGCATGAAGGGCTGGAAGGAGATCGAGTACGAGGTCGTCAGAGATTGCCAGGACAACTGCATTACAGTGTGCAACATGGAGAACTTTGATCCCCTCGGCATCCACACTGGCGACTCGATTGTCGTCGCTCCTTCTCAGACGCTGTCCGATGAGGACTACAACATGCTCCGGACGACTGCCGTCAACGTCATCCGCCACCTCGGAGTTGTCGGCGAGTGCAACATCCAATACGCCCTGAACCCCTTCTCCAAGGAGTACTGCATCATTGAGGTCAACGCCAGACTGTCCCGGTCTTCGGCCCTGGCCTCCAAGGCTACCGGCTACCCGCTTGCCTTTATTGCCGCCAAGCTGGGTCTCGGTATCCCGCTGAAGGAGATCAAGAACAGCGTCACCAAGGTCACTTGTGCCTGCTTCGAGCCCTCCCTCGACTACGTCGTGGTCAAGATGCCTCGTTGGGATCTCAAGAAGTTCACTCGTGTCTCCACCCAGCTCGGGTCGTCCATGAAGAGTGTCGGCGAGGTCATGAGCATCGGCAGGACCTTTGAGGAAGCCATCCAGAAGGCCATCCGCGCCATCGATTTCCACAACCTCGGCTTCAACGAGACACCGGCGCTCATGTCGATCGACGACGAGCTCCAGACCCCGTCCGACCAGCGCCTTTTTGCCATCGCCAACGCTATGGCCGCTGGCTACTCGGTCGAGAGGATCTGGGAGCTGACCAAGATCGACAAGTGGTTCCTCGACCGGCTCAAGGGCCTGAACGACTTCGCCAAGAAGATGAAGGACTTCAAGGCGGGCGGCGGCACCCTCCGCCCCGGCATTCTCCTCCAGGCCAAGCAGCTCGGCTTCTGCGATCGCCAGATTGCCAAGTTCTGGGGCTCCACCGAGCTCGCCGTGCGCGGCATGCGTCTCGAAGCCGGCATCACCCCCTTCGTGAAGCAGATTGACACGGTCGCTGCCGAGTTCCCGGCCTACACCAACTACCTCTACCTCACGTACAACGCCAGCGAGCACGACATTACGTTTGAAGACAACGGCGTCATGGTGCTCGGCTCGGGCGTGTACCGCATTGGGTCGTCTGTCGAGTTCGACTGGTGCTCCGTCAGGGCCATTCGCACGCTTCGCGCGTCGAACTGCAAGACTATTATGGTCAACGTACGTATACCATTTCTTCCCCCCTCGTCCCTTCCCCTTCACAGGCTTCATGCACAATAACCAAACGGACTCTTTTTTTGTTCCTTTTACTCCTTTTCTTTTGTTTCTTTCTTTTTCTTGTTTTCATCTTCCTTTTCCTCTTCTTCCTTTTCTTCCCCGCCCTATGTTACTTTGATGAACAAACTGACATGTCTTATCATTAGTACAACCCCGAAACCGTCAGCACGTAAGTAACAGTCCGCGCTCATTTCTTCCCGTTTGCGGTTCTAGGTGGCCCCCGCGGGCTCCCGATGTTCGGATTTGGAAAGAAATAGCTAACATTGTTGATAGGGATTACGACGAGGCCGACAAGCTGTACTTTGAGAACATCAACTTGGAGACAGTCTTGGACATCTACGAGGCCGAGGCTGCCAGCGGCGTTCTCGGAGCCATGGGAGGACAAACGCCAAACAACATCGCCCTGCCCCTCCTGCGTGCTGGTGTCCACGTCCTCGGTACTTCCCCCGAGATGATCGACACTGCCGAGAACCGGTACAAGTTTTCTCGCATGCTTGACCGGATCGGCGTCGACCAGCCGACCTGGAAGGAGCTCACGAGCTTCGAAGAGGCGAGGGCCTTCTGCCAGAAGGTCTCGTACCCGGTGTTGGTGCGCCCGTCCTACGTGCTCTCTGGTGCCGCCATGAACACGGTCTACTCGGAGCACGATCTACAGAACTACCTGCAGCAGGCCGCCGAGGTCTCCCCCGAGCATCCCGTTGTCATCACTAAGTACATCGAGAACGCCAAGGAGATTGAGATGGACGCTGTGGCCAAGGACGGCAAGGTCGTCGGTCACTTCATCTCGGAACACGTTGAGAACGCCGGCGTTCACTCCGGTGATGCCACCCTTATCCTGCCGCCTCAGGACTTGTCGAAGACGACCATCCAGCGCATCGAGGAAGCCACCCGCAAGATCGGTGATGCACTCAATGTCACAGGTCCCTTCAACATTCAGTTCATCGCCAAGGACAACGACATCAAGGTGATCGAGTGCAACG